ATACAAAAGGGACTTAAATACCACTTTGAATTAGTTAGCCATTGGCTTAGAAAAAAAGGAGGGGTGAGGGACATTTACCCAGGGTTCATTTCCAACCAGGCCTCCAACTGGCCTGCCTTGGGTGCATCACCGCCCGTCAGGATCTTTCCGCTGTCAACGTGGATGACTTTTACAGGCAGGTCACTCATCTGACTAGTTTCATCTAGTGGCTGGTAGGAAAGAGAAAAGCAAATGATGGCGTTAACAGACACAGGAGCATACTGGGAGCACAGACTGTACACCACAGATTGTTTTCTTCTAAGCTCACCTCTCCATCAGGTCCCATAGCAGGAGCTCCGCCTTCTACAGGGTCAGGCTTCTTGAAAGAAAAACATACAATCATAGTAAGAAACGCAGTCAAATCATTAAGGGCAAACATTTCCTGAGCCAAAATCCACCTTCTTTTTCTTCTTCTTTTTCTTCTCCTTGAGAGCTTGAGCAGCTTTGTGGGCGCGCACCAACTCGGTGAGGTTGGCAACGTATTCATCTGTCTGCTGCAGCAGGTAGGCCAGACGTTTGTCCTTCTTCTGGTCGATGAGTTTACGGTAACCTTCCTCATCTTCCGCCTGGAAAAGTGGTGCATGTGAGCTCAACTCGTGTCAAATGACACAAACAAAGGAGCAGGTGAGGTGTCAGAGAATCGGATCCTCTCACCATCAGCCTCCGCATTCTCTCCTTTTCAATGCGCTCGTTCTCCTTCTTCTGCTCGCGCTCAGTGTTGGCGTGATACGTGGCAACAGCTTTGGTGGCCTTCTGGATCTTTGCTGTGATGGAGCGGTGGTATTCCTTAAAGTCCTTGGCATGCTGCAGGATGCTGTTGAGGTATTCCTGTTGGAAGAGGGACAAAAATGTGGGGATGGGTCGATGAATTATTTTTAAAAAAACAGGAAAGAAAAGAGACTATAAATGTAAATTTGATTCCATTCTGTGATTCTTCATATTTATCCAGACCTAGAAGTGATTTTTTCCTACAGATATCGTAGTAACTTCTTATAAAAACAGACATCAGAGCTGATGATAGCTCCTCTACCTGGTGTTTCTGGCGCCGTTTGCGCTCTTGCTCGATTTTCTGCTGCTTCTCCAGCTTCTCTGTGATCCGGGCCTCTCGCAGAGATTGCCGTTTGCTGCGCTTGTAGGCTTTAGCGTTGAGGGCGGTTTCCAAAGCCGTATCCCGACGCATGCAAGCCACCACCTCCTGACGTAGCTGGAGAAAAAAATGAAATAAAATTTCACAAGTTGTTGGAGATCAGATGAGCAGAACAAATGCTGACAAACCCAGGTGCTGTTTTCACAAAACCAAGATTAGGAATTACGCCAAGACTTTCTAGATATCCTGGCTTATTAGTCCTTGACTCAGTAATAGCATAGTGATTTAGTCTGTACAGCAAGCCTACCCCAGAGGAGGCTTACTTAATCTTGCTGCTATATCAGTCAGGGTCACACTGATCAGAAATCAATTTGTTTTATCAGTGATTTATTTTTCTTATTGATGTTTTTTTTGGGTAGTTTTAATCAGTTTGAACTAAAACCATTAACACCACCATACAATGAAGTCTTTTTACTATTTTAACATTATAATAGGCTAAACCGTTACCAATTTTAGAAATTTTTTTTGTTTCCATCATCACTGTTTAACTGAAGGCCCTTAATAGAATGTTGCATTTGTTTAAGGGATTAAAGAAACAGCGGATAAAGAAGAATAAATGTTGTTCAAAAAATCAAGCTTTAAAAGTAGCTCCTAACAAGTCTTCCTTTTCATTCTTGGGTCCATATTTGAGTTTTTCCTGACCATCACCAGCATGAGTGTTACCTATTTTTAGGGGAAGGCCTCTGCTGCTACCTGTGCAGGTACTTCTAAAAAAGTCAGCAGCACACAGAACGAGCCATGCCTTTACTGATACACAGATGATCTGTGCTAGGCTCAGATATTCAGTGTATGGTATGTTCATTTACAGTAGATGCTAGGGGGTAAATAATAATAGTTTTGTATCAATGCAGCGACACCTCTGCAAGAGAATTAATTCAAGCTCCACCCCCCTCTGGTCTATTTTTTCCATTTGCTCCTGGATTTAATTCCTACTCCCATGCTGCAGTGGCGCTAAACATATTTTGCCTTCCTACCTCACTTTGTTTAGCCACTACACTCTTTCTGCTTGCACACACACACACACACACACTTAGAAAACAAATCGAATCGTTGGGTCAGGAAATTGCGTGATTTACATCCCTAGTAGATGCTGGACAGATACCATTTGATCAACGGTGTGTGGAAGGAATTTTGTGAACAGAAAAACTTTCATGTAGGAGTGACTAATGTGTCTACTTAATATATTTATTACGTGCATTCAATTACTTGTATACATTTTATTGCTTTAGATTATCTGTGAAGCTGACTGTATCTGCAGAAACATGGAGGCAAAGAATCCAGTCTCAGTCCATGAGATCTGAACCTGTCCTTCCATGGATCCCTTCTAAACTAAGCTTCTTTTTTGTTAAAGTTGAATGCCCTCTGCACCAAAACATTTTATACCCACCTGCTGCCAGTTTAAATGTGTAACCGGAAAAAAAAAAAGTGATAAATAATTTCCGCAGCCAGATAGTTTTTTTTAACCAGATGCAATTTATGAATCAACTGAGATTCAGTTCAAAGTCCTAGACTAAGCGCCAGAAAAAAAAAAAAAAAAGTTATACATGTCTATCAGCCGTTATAATATTGGCTTTCACTGTTAATTTCTAAGTAAAAAAATGACAAGTTCTTAAAATTATGGTGTATCCAAGAAAGAGAAGTGGCTATAAAATGTCTTTAGGCTCTTTAGTAGATCCATTGGTGTTTCTAGAATCAATCTGTAATCAACGTCATGATCCATTGCAGAAAAGCTGCAGAGCTCTAATAAGCTCGATTATTTACACCTGACTTGAAATAGCTGCACCTAAAAGGCATGAAGCCAGGATGCCATGCTAGGTTTAGTCTGGCTTAATCTCTTTTCCTGGATTTTTTAATTCAGCCTTTGAAAAAAAAAAAAAAAAGAATTTGCCTCAGAATTTAACATTTGATCACTTTCTGTTTACCTGTCTCTGGAATGTAAGCAGCCTCAGAGCCTTGAGCTCGATGGTGGCCTTGGTCCTCAGATCGCCGGCCAGTGAGCCGGGCAGGTGCTCCAGCTCCTGGATGCGGTGAACGATACGAGCTTGTAGCCTACAACAAAAAACACATCTTACTTTAGAAGAATATTTTTTTTTGGTACTAAAAGCCAATCACAAACTAGACATTTTGTTTGCTTATTAGAAATTTAAAGATTCCTAAAATATGATTTGGACAATAATGCTGAAAGATTGTGTTTAAAATAAGTAGTCAAACTCAGATTGGCCTTTAAGTCTTATTTATCAGTGGCAGGCAAAAAGGGTCATTTTTGAGTGGAAAACATCATATAATATACCAAGAAATATTATTTAATGTGGAAGCTGCTGCTTAATAAAAACTAACAGTAGTTTTCAATAAGTAAGGCATGTAAAGATGAGGAGGGACGATTGATTTTCATATGTCTAATGCATGCGAATCATTCAGGGTGAGAAAGCACAAGGCAGTAGATAATGGACCCCAAGAAGAGTAGCTGTCAAATTATTGACAGCTAATGGGGATCCAAATAAATAAACAATAAACGGTACGGCATTTAGCAGCATTAGAAAAGCTCAAAGATCGAGACCATTTCACATCTGTTCTTATGTGTTTTTATATTTAAGAGCAGAAGGAACACACATAGAGCAGTAATTTACTCGACTTTCAAAGGAACATTTGTTACATCGATTAAATGAGCGGCTGGGTTCCTCCACGTCGATTCCTTTCCTTCCTCACCTATACTCCCTCTCCTGGAGGATCTCAACCGGGTCCAGGCCGCGGGGTTTCTGGATGGGCGTTATGCGGTTTTGCTTCTGGTGCAGCATCATGGGTGGGAGCTGTGCCGGCTGCCCCGGGGACTGCGTCTGAGGAGGCATTACTGGGGAAGCAGCCGGAGGCACGGACGGTGGAGCAGGCGAGGGTCTGCCTGTAGGCTGAGGAGGAATCAGCTTCTGAGGAGGGTTGGATGGAGCAGCAGCATTGACCATTGGTCCTGGAAAAGAAGAATTCATCATTTCCTTTAGCTTATAAAAGAGACAAGACCACAAGGTCAACGGAAGGGGGGCGTTACACTCAGTTGTGGATATATTAGTCTTTTTTTTTTTTAAACAATCTCTTTCTTTTTTATATTTGATCTTATCTGCTGTAGATCTTAGAGGAACAACTTTAAATTAATCAAATAAACGGAAACATTTTTCAAGCGATGAACAGGCGTACCTTCAGGCCATGATTTAGGAGGTCCGTTTGCTGGCTGGCCTTGCATACCGGGAGGAACTCCCGCAGGTCCAGGTGGCGCCATATTGGGACCTACCATACCTAGAACAACAAATATTATAATCATCCTAATTTTTTTTTTATTGATAATCATCACTATCATAGCAAGAGTAACTATAGAGTTTCTGTGTAATTCTATAAAGACAAGGGGCAGTTAAAAACACACTCAGCGGGCCTTGAACTTACCATGTGGTCTGTTGTAGTTGGTCTGAGCTGGCCCCGCCCCTGCACCTGGGCCCCCTCCAGGCCCAGTGGAGGGCGGCATATTGGGCATGGGCTGCTGCTGCATCCCAGGCATGGGTCTCTTTCCCTGCACGGCCAGCTGCAGATGCTCTGGAATGGGATGATTGCGAGCCAGCATCTTGTAGGCCATGATTTGGGCCCTGAGTTGGTGTAACTGGTTCTGGTTAAAAGGAGTGGGTCCACCTGCACCGCCTGGTCCAACACCAGGACCCGGTGGTCCACCTGGACCCTGGGGTCCGCCCCTGTTTGGTTGGCCCATACTCTGAGCAGGGTCCCCGGTGCCTTCCATTGGCCCGGCTCCGGGGCCCGAGGGTGGGCCGTTGGCTGGGACGGGGCTGGGCGCGTGCTCCGAACCTCCCAACGGAGAAGGGTAACCTAGCAACAGGGAGAGGAGATGATAGACCCGAATGAGATCTTGCAGCAAAAACTAAACAAAAAACCTAGGACGGTCATTTTTTATTATTAAAAACAATTAACTTTGGGAAAGTGTCCAAATTTTACACACTGGGCTCAGATTTATATATATAAAAAAAAAAAAGCATATTTCAAAACAAGCAAATTAAACATATTTCAATAAACTACAGAACAAACTGGTATGTTTTGCTGAGATTACGCAACAGGCTATTTTTTTTTTTTCAGACGTATTAGCAATTATCCGATCCGACACTACTGTTAAATTAATTAATTATATACTTTGCCACGGGAAAAAATGCATCATGCTTGACATAAGCAATGTTTAAAAAAGGTAATGAATGAACACCAATAAATCATCACTAGCTGCTGTGTGTGCTCTGTGCAATGACATCATCAGCATTGCAATTATAAAATTAAATTCACAGACTGCTGTAACTTTATTGCTGTTTAGAATATAAAGGCAAATGGAAATGAATTGATCAGAATGCTGAATAGGCATCATCCATCCAATATCTGATCCAGCTCATTAGTCAATATCAGAGCCGTTATATCTGGGCATTGGATCGGTGCATTTCCTAAAAAGAAAAGTGTTACTTTTAAATTCGCTAATACTAATAGTAAAATTCCTTAAGATGAGACTGGATGGAGAAAGTCTTCTCTCACATTCTTCGCCAAGTCAGGTTTGGACTTTGACTTGGTCATTATAACACGAACATCCTTCAATCTAAACCGTTCTATTGGAGCTCAGGTTGTATGTTTGGTTGCTACAGGAAAGGAAACCTTCATCCCAGCCTTGAATCTTAAATTATCTTCAGCGATAGTTCCTGCTTCTTTTAGTTTCAACTAGGGGTGTGAATAATAATCGGTTTGTATCGATGCATCGATCCAACAGCCGACGATCCGATGCATCGATACATCCGCAAGATAATCGATTCATGTTTTTTTTTTTCTCCGGTCTATTTTTATCCATTTGCTCCTGGGCGTAATTCTCCCTCCCGTGCTGCGGTGGCGCTAAACCTATTTTGCCCTCCTACCTCGCTTCCTGGTTATCCTGCTGCAGCAGTGTGTCGCAGTGAGCTTGACACAGACATTTTAAAATTATGTTCAATATTGAAGCGTGGTCTGCGCTACACGCTATGGGTCTAGATACGGCCGAGGCGGTCAGGAAGTGGGGGCGAGTTTAGTCCAACGACGGAGGGACATGAGGGCCAAAAAGAGCGGAGATCCAGGTGGAAAAAGGGTCCCAGCGTTCTCGCACACCTCGCTCTTCTAGCGGGTCAAACTTCATGAGTTGTTTTCCGCAATTTCAGTCATAAAAACAAAACAAGCCGGCCTCCTGTCTGCGGTCAGCTACAATTTAGGAGAGGTCCAGCGGAGCGTCTCTCAACGGGGCGAGGCGTCTGGAGCTGAGGTGTTGCATTCCATTAATTGCACTGATTTTGTGCAGTATTTTTTGATACAACTTTTCTACTTCTGTTATTTCTAAAAAAAAAAAAACAAAACAAAAAATGCATAACAATATTACAGCTTTCATTGATTTATGTCAAACTTGAAGCTTTGTTTAGCCTGTAAGGTGTAAAAAAAGAAAATAAATAAATTTAAAAAAATCAACCAATTAATCAAATCAAATCGTATCATGGTGTATTCTTCAGTATAGAAAATAATCGAATCGTTGGGTCAGGAAATCGATACTGAATCGAATCGCCATAATGGATGTGATTTACACCCCTAGTTTCCAACATCTCATCAACTCTGACCAGCTTCTCTACCCCCACTGAAAAACCACAACATAACCCTGGCATCATTTTCACTATAATTATTGCAGGGTTCAGCTTTTGTTTAATAGGTTCTGTTGAACTATTTATAAAAGCTGGAACTGTGTTTGGCATAAAATCATGGTTCCAGTTTTAGGTAAATCTGTTCAAGAGAGTGTGACTTCCATCAGCCCTGACATCTGTCAATTTGAAAATAACTTTAGAAAAAATAAATAAAAGCCTCCAATATTAGCAGAGAAAATATCTTTAAAAAACCAGGGAACACAAGGTAGTGAATATCGCCGTATCGACAGGTGCCTTTCTCCAAACACCAGGCAGCTCATCTGGGTTTGTTGTCATCTACAAGGTACAGCGCATAAAAACACTCCCTCTATGCTGTGGCTCTGCCTACCGCTGTCTGCTCTCACCACCAGTCAGCAGAAGAAGAGAAACCGGTTGGATGGGCTCACATACAGACACACTGTAAGAGCCTGTGTCTGCTCCAATGAGGTTTGTGGGATAAAAGGAGATATTTTATTTCATATTTCCCACCGATGAACTAGAAACTTATAAAGAAAAAAACTTTGCTTCATCTCTTTTCCCATTTCTCGGTTGAATAATTACCAATTAATACCGTAAACTATATCAAAGCAAACAGTAGGAAAAGAGTTACCCTGGGAATGTTGATCCATTGGGCTGGGTGGGGGGGCCATCCCGCTGTGTCCACCGGGCCTCATGCCCATACTCTTCATCTGACCGTAGCGAGGGTCATCAGGCATTCCCTTATCGTGCATGGGATCCATTTGCTGTTTCAGACGTAAAAGTTTGAAATAAGGCAATCGTTTGGTTTGTGGGAAACCAGTATGAGCTACATAGAAGTGTATTCTATACTACTAGGGAAAACAAGTTTACTTTGTGCATCTGATGCATGCTGTCCTGAGGATATCCTGAGGGTCCTTGTGGCGGATGGGGGTGTCCAGATCCGGGCGGTCCTGGGCTTGGTCCCATCATGCTGTGGGCTGAGCCCGGTGAGGGACCAGGGCTTGGGCCCATCATGCCTCCTGGAGATGGTCCTGGCCCTGGGGAGGGACCGGGCCGGGGGGTCCCTCCCATTGGGGGATCAGGAGTTGACATCTCTCAGGAGAAACCGGTAATGCGTGGCAGCAGTTTGTACCCCTAAAAAAAAAAAAAAACCGTAGGAAATAAAACAACCAGACAGAGATTAGATTAGAAAATTATGTTTTTCTCGATACAGACTTTTGCACAAATTGAAACAATCATAGAGTACCTTTAATTCAAACTTTTATACCCCTTACAGTCTCTTTTCAAAGTATTAAAATGAAAGTTATTTTACATTTATAAGTGATATTTCTGCAGTGGGCTTATTATGAAAATCAAGTGGGTTGATGGGTGGGATGGAATCGGATATATGCGTACTTATATGGATAGATATGTGTACAGATAAATAATAAATCGTTAGCAAGTTAATATACTTTATTGAATACGTTTTTTTTGTATAGGTATATATTTTTATTTCCTTTGTACTGTATTTGTATTGTGAAATTTCCCACTGTATTTGCTAAAACAGAAATAGCTTTGATAACATTGCAAATCTACTTTAATGCAATTAAAGGAGTTTAAATTTGAAAAAAAAAAAAAAAGGATAAATCAGCCAGTAAAAGGATATAGGGAGAGATAAGTTTTCCAGAATTGAGAAATATCTGATTTAAAGAACATTTTAATACACTGTGAAAGCCCAGTTACCCATTTGCTGGTGAAGTTTTGCTGAAAACATTAACTTAACATTATAGGGTGTTAAATAAATGAGTTTCAGTTTACACTTTTCTAAATAACCAAAAAAAAATATATACATTTTATACACTGAGCTTTTGTTTATGCGGAAACATAAAAAGTCTTATTCTTTAAAGAAAATATTCTTTCATACAATCAAAATCGGAGCCTGAAATGAAAACTAGCAGCACCTGCAAGTATAAAGTTAAATCATCTGCAAATGTGACAGAAGTTGTTTAAATGTCCCTTTGTGCAACACAACAATGGGGGAGGGGGTATATTTATAAATAAGCTTCAAGCTGACGTGAAGAGACGCCCTAAAAAGCAATAAAACAAGAAAACCTTCCTTTTTTGACACTGTTTAAATATGTTAGCAGCAGTTTTTTACCAATTTAAACGGTTCAGACGTTGGTAGGACTTTCAGACGTTAGCCAGGCCTAGCCGGCTTTATCGGATAAGGCTACAATTAGACTATTTAAACCCTGTGAATGTTAGAATTGATCAAAAGGAACAGTTTACTTGAACATTAAGTTAGGTCTTCATTATGGTTCATATAGTGTGAGGGAATAACAGGGCACAGCTGGCTGAGAGCAGTTTGCAAAAGTAAAACCTGAAGAAACCATCAGATTGCTAACATGCTAGCGAGCTAGTCCAGGTAGCCATCCCGGCCATGCTCTGCCGAGGCCAGTTAGAGAGAAAAAACGAGCTTTTAGGTGATATATTTTCGATGCGACGCTGCGACGTGCTAAAGATTGAAGCATCACTCATAGTGGGAGCTGATTGATCCATCGCGCCTCCCGTACACTTCGCTCACTGCTCCGTTCTTCTCCTAAAGCCGTTTTCATTCATTGCGCTCTGCCGCGCCACAGCAGAGTCTCTGTAATGACGGCGAGGCTTTTCTCTCTGAGAAAACATTCCACTCAACTTCATGCATACCGAAAAAAAACCCGAATAAAACGTTGATAAAAGTGTCCCAGTAAAGACAGAAACACTGAAAATACTTACAAAAGAGCGGATTGTTTGTGTTTGGGTTGTGACCGGTGGACGCGTCTCTTGGATTTCCCCCTAGCCAGAAACAAAGAGCGACCTACCCGGTTGGTTTTTTTCCTACACCCCCCCTCCTGTAGTGCTCTACAGCGCCCCCTGCAGAGTATTACAGGCTGGAAGGAACCAGAAGCCAGCGTGGTGGGGGATGGGAACCTGGACGAACACAGAACATAGTGGAATATTTACAATTACACTTTGCTTTAAAATACTACTTTAATGTAGATTAAACTAACTCTAAGACGTTTTGGCGCATGGAATGAAACAAATGCACATTTTTAAAGACGGAAAATAACAGTTAACCATGATTTATTCATATTACTAGTACTACCACCGCTATTAAAAGTAGTAATTATGATTAAATTAAAAATATTTGAATCCTGTTTTTAGTGCTGGTAATGTCATTTTACCAACCGTTAAAAACTAACGCCATAAAAAAAGACTATTTTATTTACAGGAATGTATCAGTATAATTTATTAATTTATATTGCTTTACTAATAAAGCAATATAAATTAAAGTTGGTTATGCCTATGTGCATATTTGCAAATGCCTATGGGGGTATTTAAGAAAAAAAAAAAAAATATATATATAT